CCTCGCGCTGCGTGGCCCTCGCGCTGCGTGGCCCTCGCGCTGCGTGGCCCTCGCGCTGCGTGGCCCTCGCGCTGCGTCGCCCTCTGTTGTGATTATTATTGTCAGTGTCAGTTTATCTCATTGAGGGTCTTCCTCTCTTTCATTGACCCTGTACTTTCCCAAACATGATGTCCTTTTCAAAGGACTGGACCTTCTTGATAAAACATGTCCAAAGCACGTAAAACTGCCTTTCTTCAAAGACAGACATGTTCATTCTTTGGTGGTTCATGGTGTATTCAATACTCTTCACTGGCACCACAAGTCAAGATCTCTATGGATAGGCTCTGTCTCTTCTCTCCTCTTAAGTGGAGGTGGAAGGACAAGTACTTCAACTAGTAGAAGATAGTAAGAGACATCAGGAGGAAATTTCCAATAGGAAAATTAATAACCGATATATTGGTAACCCAATTCCTTAGTTCCCTTAAGTCTTACATTAAAATAATAGTTATCTCTTCTTAAGGTATTAGGAAGAGGTAAGAAAAGAGGTTGAAAGTGCTCTGAAATTCCTATCATCCATGATTCAACAAGAGAAACTACAATGTTGACCAATAGAAACAGGCAGAAGACACTTTCTTTCTTGACTACAGGGTAGATAACATTTGTCAGGATGATAAATAGCTTGGCTACTTATTGGCAGTTCTTGAGCCTTTGGCCAAGGAGTCCCTCCCTGGCTGGTACAGAGAACCCGCCAAGGACACTGCACATTTCCCTTGAGCAGCATCTTACACCAAAGCTTGCTCTTGGGGTGTGGCAGCTAGAGGTCCTGTAGGACATGTAATGGTCCAGAGAGAAAGCAACAGAGCATACTTTCCCAATCCTCAGTGTTCAAGTAAGGATCCCTGGCCCAAAGACCACTGCTTATTAGTCACTTATTAGTCAGGAAATTTAATGAGCATGGAAAAGGGCTTTGGTTTATGATCTTCAAAGAAGTCTGAGTCACAGCTGCAGGAAGGAGATGACAACTGGCCCATGACTAGCAAGAGTGACATTTTGTTCATGAGTGTTAAGAATTATTCCATAGTTTAAGGATGAGCTCAGTAGTTATGGACCTGAAAATATCAGGATTGCTCTTGAATCTTCTTGTTTCCTTTGGATGCCCATATTTATAGATGCCTATATTTAACCTCTTTTTGTACAAAACCTTTTTACTTTTTACTCTGTTCCAGATAAATTTCTATAGGTTTCTGTGGAGTCTTAATTATTTTACCCTCATCTCCTCTTAGCTCATGCATTCTTACCTTTTGTACTTTGTAAATCTGTTAACTCTATTCTTTTTGTGATTTTAATAACTTCCCATGTCTTTCCCAAACCCCATTTCAACTGTGAAGAAAGAAATGCAGGAGAGGCAAGGAAATTTATCAGAAACTCCTGAGAACTTTTCCAGATATAGTGTGTTTACTTCCAACTTACTGAACTTGTCAAAGCCTTGGAGATAGAGATAGAGATAGAGATAGAGATAGAGATAGAGAGAGAGAGAGAGAGAGAGAGAGAGAGAGAGAGAGAGAGAGATGGATGAGAGAGAGAGATTATCTACATCTAATTCTGATGGTCAGCTTCCTCTTCTCTGTAATAAAACACTGTTCTGAACAGAAAAACTTGAATCCTTCTATCTTCCTTTATTTCTGTGATATCTCATGTTTGTCATTCTGATGGAATAAAGTTGTCATTCACTGTTAAACTGATGGTGAAGGTTGTAATGGAGAGTTTCAATCATAAAAATGAAATTAGAATATAACTATAAATCTTAGAGCCCCATCAGATCACCACTGGTGGACCTCCACATAACCCCGCAGCTTCTCTGCCTACTCTTCTCTCAGCAGCTATCTCTGGACAGATTCCTCAAGGAACAGAAGGCAGCCAGTGATGGAAGGGGCCAACAGCAGCTCCTCCAAGGGTTTTGAAAGGCAACCAGTGATGGACCAGACCAGCAACAGCACCTCAGAGGGGTTCATTCTGATGGGTGTGTCCGACCACCCCCGGCTGGAGGTCATCTTTTTTGTAGTCATCCTCATCTCTTACTTGATGACTCTAGTTGGGAACTCAACCATCATCCTGCTTTCCCGCCTAGATGCCCGGCTTCACACACCCATGTACTTCTTCCTCAGCAACCTCTCCTCTCTAGATTTAGCTTTTACCACCAGCTCAGTACCCCAAATGCTAATCAATTTATGGGGCCCAGACAAGACCATTAGCTATGGTGGCTGTGTGACCCAACTGTATGTTTTCCTTTGGCTAGGAGCTACTGAGTGCATTTTGCTTGTGGTGATGGCATTTGACCGTTATGTGGCAGTTTGCCGGCCCCTGCACTATACCACTATCATGAACCCTCGGCTTTGCTGGCTGCTGGCTGCTGTTGCCTGGCTGGGTGGCCTGTGCAACTCTGTGATCCAGTCAACATTCACTCTGCAGCTGCCATTGTGTGGGCACCGGAGGGTGGACAACTTTCTGTGTGAAGTGCCTGCAATGATCAAGCTGGCCTGTGGAGATACTAGTCTCAATGAGGCTGTGCTCAATGGTGTCTGTACCTTCTTCACTGTGGTGCCTCTAAGCATTATCTTGATCTCCTACTGCTACATTGCTCAGGCAGTATTGAAGATCAGTTCATCAGAAGGACGACGAAAGGCCTTTAACACCTGTCTCTCTCACCTTGTGGTGGTGTTTCTTTTCTATGGCTCAGCTATCTATGGCTATCTGCTTCCAGCCAAGACCAGCAAACAGGACCATGGCAAATTTATTTCTCTTTTCTACTCTGTGGTCACACCCATGGTGAATCCTCTCATCTACACTCTGAGGAACAAAGAGGTGAAGGGGGCACTCAGAAGGTTGCTGGGGAAAGGAAGGGAAGTGGGCTGAATGAAAACTATCAACTATTGTCTCTTCATCTGGACAGTTTTTCTCATAATCTCTTTGCCCAGACAAACAGGAAGAGTAATAGCTGTGGTAAAACTATCCCAGTGAACCAATACATGTTCTCAGTAACTAGAACATGGCTAGTGTTATTTTCAATGTTCTACACTTATTTACCAAAATATCTATGCTGGACTCCAGGTAACAGGGCAAACACATGGCCAAGCCACAAAGGTACTGATCTATCTCATTGTCTCTGTCACTATAGTCCACAAGTTTGAACAACTTGAGCAATCTTCTCTTTATGGAGAATTCTATACTTTTTCTAAAGAAAGCACCTTCATTTGCAGTATCTCATATAATGTTACTATTATGAAATCAAGGCAGTTATTACCAACCCCACATGAAGACCAACATAGTTCACTGTTGTACCCAAAGACCTAGCCATGCATTATCTCGGTCAGCCCATTTGTTGTCTCTTCTCATCTATCTCTCCATATTTCCTATCCATACAGATTTTAGTAATTTTGTTTTTTCTCCCTTTTGTGTCCTTCTCATTTCCCATCTGTCTCATCTAATATTTAATGAGAAAAATTAAGAAAGTCCATTTGTATTTACAATTCAAGCCCCAAAATTCCCATTGCTTTGGTTTTATTTCAATCACTCCATGCAAAAGTCCCAGTTAATTAGACTTGCTCTAGCATTTGGATATTCCAGTCTAATTAGTAGATTCTAGAACTTAGATTACTTAAACAAGTTGATGATCCCAATAAGGATTATTCATCCATTAAGTGTGTCTTCTGGTCCAAAGTCTAGTCTTTCAGTCCTACAGGTTTAGAACTCAGTAGTCGGTCCATCCCACAATTCAGGTATTAGAATCAGAATGCTAACTTGTGAATTTTTTTTGTTGTGTGTTTTTACACTACTAGAATTGCCAGAGGAAGTTCCACCTGCTACCATACTTTATATACAATTTCCTAAGTTACAGAAGTTATGCTAAAATGAAAAAGCTACTTGGCAATTGCATCAGGAAATAGTTTTTTAAAAAATTCGTTCTATAAATAATAACAAATGATTCTTCAACTTTGTGTCCTCCACACTAACGAAGCTTTGTGTAATGTAGATGTTTAATAAAAGATAGTGGATTGAATTATGAAAGGAATGGAGTTTGTCAAGTGGACAATTTTCATTTTGGCCAGTTTGGGTCATTCGGCCCATTGAACAGCACTAAAGAAACTACAGTGTGTGTCTTCTTTTCTCATATTTCCACATAGAAAGCAAATTGTACTGTCTAGTCCTAAAGACTATTCTGCATTAATATTAAAGGCCTGTCCTATTTTCTCACAATCTTGAGATTGTGATTATCCAAGATTAGACAATTGTTGATTATTTTGGTAAATTCACCAGGGTCTTGTGTGCATTAAGTACCATCGAGTCAGAACCAACTCATAGCTGACCCTCTAGTGGGTTTTCAGGGCAGTAAATCCCTGGGAGGAAATTGCCCATCTTTCTCCTGCGGAGCAGGTGGTGGAACTGCATGTCTTTGGTTTGGCTGCACAACTCCTTACCACTAAGGTCACCAGAGCTCCCTCGTACAGACTCAAAATTTTGATTGATCAATACACTCAAATTTGACCAAGTTGTCTTGTAGTAGACTCACAAGGGCAAACTCCTAAAGGCTGATACATAAACCACAATGTCAATTGAATGATGTATGAAAACTGCAATTATTAAAGAGAATGAACTGTCATCTCCTCCAGCCAACTAATTTAATCTAACTATAGAATAGAGATATAGAGATATAGAAGTTGGGGTAAAGCATGGAGAAAACAGATAGGCATTCTTTTAAAATTCTAGAGTTCTGCAGTGCTTCTTTATAAGAAAGTATAGAATATTGTGAATCTACCACATTTTTATGAGACAGTATTAGTGTAGTTATTAATGATTTTTCCCAAATAACACAACCCCCCCTAGTGTATTGGTTTTCTATGAACATTATATAGTATATGTGTGTGTAGTTATTTACATGGGTGTGTTATATGTAAAACTATGGCAACTTTGAGGTAAGAAATGGTGAGAGATGGTACGTTATAGAGAGTAAAAAAGCCTCACTGACCATCATTGGGAAGTGACTGCTTCACAGAAATCACTAATAGACCATGATCCTGTACCAGCAGGAAACAGTAAAAAATTGGGCAGGGCTAAGAAATAAATATGGGACAAGTTCCTTAGTATTAAGGAGCTTAAAGTTCTATTTTTAGGGTTCCAGAAGAAATTGTCTGTTTGGTGTCAGTTGAAAATTTTCAGGCGAAAATTCAGAAAATGAAAGACAAAACAAAGCACCCAGTCTTAAATAAAGTTCCTTAGCTAACATTGTCCCAGTATAGGAATTTACCTTATTTAGATTCCTCGACAGTCCTTAATTCAATATAGTGCTCTTTATGAACCTTTTGTTACACAATGATTGGTGGGAAATACAGCCTTCTCATCTCCTCATCACTGTTTGGTGGAACCACCACATACAGATTCTTTCTCAGCAACCTCTTTGTCAGCTCCATCCCAGATGTTCTAGTCTTTGTAGATCCAAGATCAACCTACCTCTATAATCTTGGCCCTCCAGCCCACTATGTCACTCTTCCGGCAGTGATGTGTTTTCGCAAAGATATTGTTATCTGCCAGTGTCTCAGAAGCAATGGTGTTTCTGCCAGCAGTTGGCATGTCTTTTCTGGTTTATAATCCCATAGTGCGCATGGCTGCAACCCTGCAGCTTTTCTTCTGTAAGTTGAACACTGCTATCAAGCTGACCTGTGAGTCCCAGGACCTTACGGTCATCATCTTCTTATGACCCTTGGACTTGATACGTGTCCCCCATGGGAACATTTCCCAAGTTCGCTAAGTATCTGCTCAGCCAAGAGTAACAGGAGAAATTTTTCGTTCTTTGGGACTACCACTTCTGACTAAATTTAGCTTAAATATTGCTTCTTCTTATTATTCACTCTCCACCCTCTCACATACAACCTGAAGAATGATCGTAAATGTGAAATAAGCAAGCTTTATTAGGCAGGAATTAGTTCAGGACATACAAGACCAGGACAACTGAAATGCACCTTTAGTCCTTGCTTCCTCCCACACAGAAGTTCTGCTTTGTCTTTCTCTCTGTCCTCTCAATACAGGCCCTTGTCCACTCTGTTCTCTGAATAAGGAAACAGGAAGACACCACACTGATGCCCACAAAAGCAAACAGTCAAGAAATCAATGTATGACCTATATCCAGGAGAGAATAAAATAGATGAATAGGACTTCTAAAAATCAAATCCCTATGCACATAAAAATACTTCACCATGGGGTGGGGGAAGGGCTGGGCAGGGAGAAAAGTGCAACAATGAATGAATGGGAATCCAAAATCTCTGCAAATGTTCATTAAAATTAATAAAATAAAATTTAAACACACACACATACACACACAAAACAAAACAAAACACAAAACAACTTTCACCAACAGGGTAAAAAGGAAACCTACAGATTGGGAAAAAAATATTTGGCAATGGCATATCTGATAAGGGACTTATATCTAAAATTTATAAAATACTCTTGTCCCTCAATAAGAAAAAGATAGCAATACAATCACAAAATGGGCATAGAATATGAATAGACACATCACCAAAGAGGACATTCAGATGGCAACAAACACATGAAGAAATGTTCAAAATCCCTCTCTATCATACAGATGCAAATCAAAACCAGTATGACATACCATCTCACCCCAGCAACAATAGCAAAGTACAGCAGGGCAGCAAATAACAAATGCTGGCTATGTTATGGAGAGCTAGGAATCCTTATTCACTGCTGATGGGAATATAAAATGGTACAGTCACTGTGGAAGGAAGTATGGGTTCTTTCTCAAAAAGTTGGAAACAGAAATACCATTTGACCCAGCAGTTCCACTACTGGGAATATACCCTAAATAAGCCAGAGCCACAACTCAAACAGTTGTTTACTGCTGCGATAGTCGCAGTAGCAAAGAAGTGGAAACAACCCATGTACCCATCAACAAAATGAATGGATAGAAAAACTATGGTACATTGACACAATGGAATATTACGCAGCACTCAAAACCAGTGAACTCAATGTTATGTAAAACATTACATAACATGGGGGAGCCTAGAGGATATTACACTGAGTGAAATATCTCAGTTACAAAAGGATTCAGTTACAAAAATATCGCATAACACAGCTGTTATAAAATCGGACAGGTGTCAGTGGGTTAGGGAGAAAATGGGGAGGAAAGTAGATAGATAATGAACACTGCATTAGATCAGATGAGAGGAAGAAGTGTCCAAAAAGAATATATGATTAGGCATTACATATATATTAACAATTTAAACCAAAGGATACATTGTGGGGAGGGCTGGGGAAGAGTGAGGAGGGGAGGGGGTAGAAAATGTGCAACAATTTTTAAAAATTAAAACATTTTATGATTAAAAAAATAAAGAAGTCAATGTATGGCGTTGGGCAAATCTGCTGCAAGATTTCTCTTTGAGGACTATTGTTGTTAAGGGCTATCAATTTGTGTATGACTCATAGTGATCCCATGCAATAGATCTGAATTATAGCATATTCTGCACAATCCTTATCATTCTTGACACATCTGAGTCTGTTGTCACAGATAGTGCATCAAACCATCTCATCATTCTTCTCCTTCACTGATACTTCACCTTCCCAAGAATGATGTCCCTTTCTAAGGAATAGCTCTCATGAGAGATTGAGTCAGAAAACCAAAAGAGCTGAACTTGCTCAGCATTCCTTAAGCTGAAAGAACTGAAGAACAAATTCAAGCTTCAAGATGCAATACTGAAGGATGCTATGGGCAGAATAATATTGAATAATCCAAACCAAACAGCATTTAAAAAAGGTGGAAGGAATACACAAAGACACTGGACCATGCTCGCTTCAGCAGCACATATAATAAAATTGGAATGATATATAGAAGATTAGCATAACCCCTG